GCTAACTGAGATCTGAATCCAGAGGATATAATGTGATATAGGTCTTATCATCATGATGTTTGATGCATTTTGTTTTTACATCTATGCGTAAATATCATATTATATCATACTGTATCGTATCATATTGAACCACATTGTACCATATTGTATTGTATCGTAAAAATATGTAAAAAGGAGGATGCGAATGTTGGAGTCAGTGAATTTGCCTCAAAATTACTGTATAGTCCAATGTATAAACTTAATGTTAGTGAATTGGCTAAATTATAAAATGAAACTGCTGTTTTGTGGCTAGTGTGCTCTCTGTATAATTGAAACACTGAACACTGGAATTATACTCAAATATTTCATATGATTTCACAGCACTAATTCCATCAGTACAGTCATGTCTCTGGTCTAGTTAAATACAAACTTTGAACCTTTGCACCTTTCAGTGGGAGTCGCTATCTTTCTCAATATAAAATGCATTGTCAAATGCCTTCTCACCTGCCCTGGTTGATGGTTGCGGGGTCAGCCCCTGAGCAGATATCCTCCATGACGAAGGGGTTCTTCTCACAGCTGACGTTGAGGGTGGTGTAGTTGGGTTTACACACAGTGAGAAAGTAGGGCGTTGGGTACCCTGTCATCAGTTGTAGGATGTCGGTGATGAGCGCCGTGGCACAAAGGCCGAATGCATGAACGCCTGAGGACAGAGGAGGATGTGATGTAAATGTTGGGAAACAAGCTGAATGTGCACTGCAGGCAGTTGCATACACACTATATTGTTGTGTGTGTACTGTATAGGGTGAACATATGCAGGCAATGTAATTACTGGCTTTAAAGGGACCCCTAAATGAAAATGACATATTTTTCCCTTTTTTACTGAAGTGTTATTTATCCATCTGGATAGTTTTGCTGGGAATTGCTGAATTTTGGACATATATAAAGACGTCTTTCTTCTCTCCAGAATAATGGAACCGGATAACACAACTTGTGGTGCTCAAAGCGGCAAATAAATACATTTGAAAAACTCAACAGCAGTGTCTCTTTCCAGAAATCATGAACTGGTTACTCAAGATAAACCACAGACCTTGTCGTGAGCAGTTTCATGGTGGAACCATTTCTTTCTACCACCCACCAACCGTAGCCGTCTCAGTGGTGCTAGGTGAGCAAGCTAACATTACAGCAATGCCGAGGAGGACACCAATAATGTTTACATCCTGCGCTGCCATGAGTACGAGCCTCTTGTCAATGGATGTATTGAGAGAACTGATACAGCGTTGGAGGCGGCACTTTGTTTATTCTTATAAAAGATGCTCAGTGGTGCACGAAGTCAAAGAAATTACCTGGATGAATGCATATTGTGACGGTTTATCCCCCTCCATTAACTTGAACGGGGACTAATGATTTAATTGATTCTGTAATTTTCGTAGGTTGTCACACAGGAAAAAAAAAAATTTAGTTTTACAGCTGCTTCTTTCACAATGTAACCTTATGAGAAATAGTCTTTTTGGGCCAGTGAGGGTCACATGACGGATGCCATCGCTGAAAATACACGGTTTACTCTCGTCGATGAGTAGAGATGTATGCTTTCTTCTGCGTGGTGACAGGTAGAAAGAAAATAGTTCCTATAAGAAAATTCCTCACAACAAGGTAAATGGTAAATGGCAAATAGACTGTACTCTGCAAAGCCTATCAAACAGAAACTAACTCATTCATTCAGTTAAATTCACACACCAATGCACAGTATCTGGAGCAATTTGGGATTCAGTGTCTTGCTCTGTTGATTGTCTTTAGTAACCAGGTCATAATTTCTGGAAAAAGAAATTGCTTTTTCAAATTTTTGGCACTTTGAGCACCACAAGCAGAGTGCCATCTGGTTCCATTATATTGGAGAGAAGGCAGACATCTCTATTGCTGATATCTCCAAAACTCAGCAACTCATAGCCATACAATCTAGATGGATAAATTGCACTACAAGGAAGAGGAAATATATGTTTTAGATTTTGTGTGCATACACATTTATAAAAATACATTTTGTCTGAAGTGGTGTTTTATTGGAGAAGCTGTCTAAAATGTTTCTAAATGACAAGAAGCTGGAAAAAAAAAAATCAGTCAGTTACCATACTTTCAGGCCAGTGTATAGAAAGAAAAAAGGATCAGTGTACCAACGAAGCGGACAGCTCTGCGTATAAAGGAGTTGAAGTTGCAGCCAGCTGCATTTATGTTAGCCTCGGCCCCGATGCCACTCTTCCTCCGAGACAAACAGCAGAACAGGATGGCCTCTCCAATCATTATCTGTTAACACAACAACACACCTGTCATCCTATTTTTGTTGCTGAACTGATGTTTCTCTATGCAATTTAAAGCTGCAGTCAGTAATTTTTATTAAAAAAAATTTTTTTTGTCATATTTGCTGAAACTTTCACTATGTCCTGACAGTAGAATATGAGACAGATAATCTATGGAAAAATCTGGTTAGTCTGGCTTCTCTTAGTGCTAATGACATTTGCAAGAATCCACAAGGCCTGGACAGAAACAACCAATCAAGGCTGAGAAAGATATAAATATGCTTTGTGTTGGAGGCTTTAAGATAGTTGATAGTTGAGTCTCAATCTCAGCTATCTCCCCAAAGCATTTGTATTTGACACCCTGGGAATGTGACTCAACAATCAGCAATCTTTCTCGGCCAGAGGAACCTGATTTTTCCACATATGATCTTATGTACTACTATCAGGATATAGTTAAAGATATGACAAAAAATATTTTTATAAAAATCACCTACTGCA